CCCCCCCCCTCTTATATTGCCTCCCATTTGCCCCGACGGTCGCCTTGCTTGACTGATGTCAGTAAGTTGTCCCCCATATTGGGCCTGGGCCTCTTCCCAGTGATCTAAATTGGAGCAGCCTCTCGCGGCTTCATGTCCCACCAACCAGATGATTTTAGCCGAGCGTTTCATGGCTGTGGCCTTCTCAGTAACTATTGCGGGTCACGCGCAAGCCGGGGGAATTCCCGCAGGGGTGTAAAGAAATCCCATGGACAGTGGAACAGCATTTATGCGTCTTCAGCCTCGCCGGACAACACGCACAAGCATCCCCACACAAACTTGGTGTAACTGTGGTGAAATGATTAGTCTACCCTGTACGGGGTGGGACCTGTAGCATAATTATCGAACTGTAATTTGCCAAGGTCTTCTATTAATATGGGCTGATTTGTCTGAGGCAGAACAATTGGAATGGCAGGATGCATGCACCGGGGTTCAGGTAGATGAGAATCAATCCTCTAGGATGGCCGTAAGAAAGGAACGGCATCCTAAGGCCCGGCCGCTCCGAGACGCGTCGTCAAGGAAAGGATACAACGGATTGCATGACTTTCTCAATTGAGAACTTGATTTTCCATGGCCAAAATGGGAACGACGGCGTGGTAATCAAAGTGCACTGCCCATTTTCCCCTCCCCCCCCCCCCGGGGGAGACCATCTCCCAGAGACTACGATTTTCCTACCTCTATTCATGCCTCCTCTTCATGGCTCAGCAATTTTCGGTTGTGGCCCAACATACTTGGTTCTACGCCCATCAGTTCGTCAGTTGTTATCTTCATCAGACAGCCCGTACAGGGAGAAAGAAACTCACAGCCCCCGATCGCGTCACACGTAGTACAACGAAGTCCCAGCCAGCCTTGAAGGCCAAGAATCCCTCACCTATAATGAGAAATAAGACGGTAGCCACTAGCTCGGACCTACGCCTTCCCAAACTTGGGGGAGTCTTCACTACATTGAAGATTCCCTACCGATATTTAGAGGAGCCACGGGTATGCTGATTTTCACATAGTAATTTTAACAGCCCAGGAACAAGGCCCCAGCATCCGAGGAATTGGTCACCACCGAGTGAACGACCATAAGGGCATTCGACCTCGGCCAGCTTGCCGAGAGTTGCAGACCACCCTAACGATGCCCCCACAACGAAGTTGACTGGCTACCCTCCCTGCCAATAATGCCGCCGCCGCCCCCTCTCCCGACAGAGCCGAACCCACCCATGTGCTAAAGAATCTCCTGTCCCAGAATAACGATGATGCGCCATCTTCACTCGTGATCTTCACGTCTAAGAGGCTCGCTGAATCCCCTGTTGTACCCACCTCCGCGCCCAAGCGAGCTGGTTCACCGGTCAATGCAACAGGGAGTCCTCGATGTGGGTAGCCACGGCCAAGGTCGCAATTGATCTGGTTCCAGGGAAACAATGGGAAGGAGGATGACGGGCATTTGAGAACCACCATTATAGCAGGACAATATACCGGACTGGTAAAAGTAGCGGCCTCGAACACAATCATCTCGGAGTAGGCAATGGCACCACGAGAGCAGCATGGCTTCGCAAACATTCCAGCGTTCAATAGCGGCCCCGTGCTACTTTCAAGACCGTCCAGGATTCCTAAGGGAACATCGGAGATGGGAGGAAGGGCGACATCCAGGATTCCGCTTAGTCTTTGTTAGGCTTCTCGGCCGAGGACTGGACGTGAGCCTGATGGCTATCTTCTCCGGGCCTACTGATATAACAAGGTAATGTGTTTACTTGGACAAACTCCATCGGCGGGAGTATAATGCCAAGGGTCACTCCTGTGCACTGCATGTGATTAGGAATTGAATCTGTACTTGATGGACCGTTGACAACTTGAATTGGTCCGAAGCACGTCACAAACTGCTGTTCTGCCTGCTTCTCCTGGATAACTCAAATATGCAGGTCTCTGCCAGCCCATCGGGATTTAATGGCGATATGTCCATTAAGTCCGAGACATCCTAGGATGTGTGTTGGCAGTCGCGCATTCGGCTGCATTCCTCTCGTGATCAAGAAACCACCGAACTCCCAGCACATTAAGGCATCTTTCCAAGTACATAACTAGACAATTTCATGCATATGAGCCAATACTAACCCTGTATTGTCAGATGCAACTTGTCTTGGCAGGGCCTTCTTCAAATGCCGTCTATCCGTGATTGTAGTCCCATCCCCCAATATTCCATTCCAACTCCACGACGGATCATGTATTTAAGTAGCGTCTTGAATATTGCCGCACGTGCTTGTGCATCCCTACCCCCACGACATGATGCTATATTGCCCGCATTTTATGCCACAAGACACAGTGGATAGCGTCAGATACGTCTGCATTTGGAAACTTTGTAAGCCTACACGCTGTAATAATAGCCTTTTCCTCCTTGGGCAAATGTCATACTAATCCCGCATTGGGTGTCATACCCCCATGTACTTATTGGGTACATCCAGCAAGCCAATCTCATGACCATCTCGCAGCTCCGACACCCCCATGTTTAAAAGCCTATGGGGTGCTGCGATGCACCCGCCCCCAGTGATTACAGCTTATTATGGAACTTACAGTCCGGAGTGGGCATATTGTCGTCCGGAATGCATGATGAGATATCCCGGGGATATGACGGAAGATCTTGCCCCACTACGCGGGATGCCGATGCCGGGGAGGTGGTGCCCCGGGCAGCTCGATTGGTAATAAGTTGCATTATTAAACATGGGCATGGAGGGGCAGACCTCCCGCACCAGGATCGAGATGGTCCTCTATCACTAGAAAAGGGAGCGCGGGGTGAAGTGAGGCGCAGCTATGCACGTAGAAGGGCCATTATGATGCGATAATGTTGGAAATTGTATAATCAAAGTATGGCTGTCTTGGCGGGGTTCCGACTGTTTGGGAGCCGATAATGGAGGCAAGATAGGATGTATTTATTCCTGGCTCAGTCTGGTCATCCTAAGAGGCATCAGCCTATACCTTGGCTACATCGCAGTCCAAAAAATATTACTTTCTCAGCACGACCAAATTCATACAAAGCTCAGCTTCACACAAATAACGACGCCACACAAAGCTCCAGCAACCCCAGCTCCCAGCCATTATGTCTTCCACTACTACCACCACCGCCACTCAAGCCATTGAAGCGAGCACAGCCAAGCTATCTTTGGCCTTTGATGCAGAGATCCACAAAGATGTGCGCATGTGTATCCCTATCGAGTCGCGAAGGATGATGGCGCTAATATTAGTCGTCAACTGTAGTACAAATATACGCACTATCTGCCCGTCTATGACGAAGAAACCGCGTTCCCTCCCCTCCAGCCCTTCGAATTCAACGACCGAGGCCTTGTAGCAGATAAGACGTACCGCAATCTGCTCTCGCCGGACAATGCGAGCCTTAAGGCGACCAAACTGACACCACCCATCGGGACCGAGATTCGTGGACTGCAGCTCTCGGAGTTGGACGACCGTCAGAAGGATGAGCTCGCACTTCTCCTGGCAGAACGCGGTGTCGTGATCTTCCGGGATCAGGACTTCAAGGACATAGGGGCAGACAGGCAGAAGGAATTTGCGCGGTACTTTGGACCGCTCCATATCCATGTGCGTTCACCTCTTCATCCTCACCCCTACCAACCTCCTTTCTATCCGCCTATGATTCTATTTAACTAACACCCAATGCAGCCCACCGGATCACATGCAAAGGACAATCTCGAGATCCTCAATATCTACCAGGGCCCCGACAACGAATACAACGGTCTCCGCCTTCAGAACCGCCTCACCTCTACCAACTACCACTCCGATGTCTCATATGAGCGCCAGACCCCTGGAATAACGATTCTTACCCTTCTCTCTGTGCCCCCTACTGGCGGTGATACGGCCTGGGCCTCCCAAACGACTGCATACGCACGCCTATCGCAGCCTATCAAGACGCTCCTCGAGGGCCTCCGTGCGGAGCATAGCGGGTTCCCTCAGGCCGAGAGCGCAACGAAGGGCGGAAAATTTGTCAGGAGGCAGCCGATTAAGACGGAGCACCCAATTGTTCGGATCCATCCGGTAAGAGGCCTATCCAGTGTTTAATCCCGTAGGTTGTTTCCCACTAACCACAGCTCTGTCTGTAGGCTACTGGGCAGAAGGCGCTTTATGTTAACCCCGGATTCACGACACGCATTGTCGGGCTGAAGGATGAGGAGTCGGATGCCCTTTTGAAACTCTTGTTCAAGGTACTAGCCACCCTTCCCACCAGGCGTACGTAGATAGCGCCCTGCTGACATATAACCTCCAGCACATCACCAAAGGTCAAGATTTCCAAGTACGCGTGAAGTGGGAGGAGGGGACTGTTGCCCTCTGGGACAACCGTATCACCGCCCACACGGCCATCAAGGACTACGACGTCCATAACCCGCAGGAGGGGGCCCGCCATGGAATACGGCTCACTAGTTTGGCTGAGAAACCTATTGGTGTAAACGGCCTGACGTCACAATGGTGATTAGTATGAGTGGCTTGGCTTTGGTTTCGGGTCTTTGAGGTTGTGCTCAAACAGCAAGCTATTCGTCGACGAGATCACCTGTTATTCAATACAACCCATCTTTGTCCCTGACTTCACGCTCTATAGGGATCCAATTGGGATTATTGTTGCCACCGCTATGTGAAGTGGATGGGCTCCTTGCAGAGACAGGACTAATCTACCATGTAGACATCCGAGGACTCGCACCGAAATTTCCTCTGGCACGTTCATATGCTTCGTCACTCGAGGAGAAGATGACGGCGCGCGACGTATCAACATCTGAACGGAGCAGTTGACCCCACTGAGGTTAGAGCCAAGAAGTAGAAGAGGATATTTTTCTCGACTTACCTCTCCGAACGCCTGCTGCCCAAAGAAAAACCGAAAAAAAAGTTCGCGTGGGGCCACATCTGGCTCACCCACCTAAAAGCTCGGCTGTTATTAAATTTGAAGTCTCGAACCGCAAAAGTCAACGTAGGTGACAAAAAGATGGACACACCAGGAATCGAACCAGGGACCGCCTCTAACTTTAGATATCGCTATCTATTCTCAGGTCTTGGGGACCTTAAGATGCTAAAGAGGAATTATACCACTAAACCATGCGCCCTACTCGTTGATTTTCACAATCATCATCACGTATATGATCGTTGGGAAGACGTTCCCTTACAAGAGCACCATGTAGAGGAACGGGTGCCCTCTGTAAGTTATCTATTTAGGGGAGAATTGAGCAGCGAGAGATCAGACGAGATAAGCTGCCCACCTATATAGGCTACGAATTTGGAAAGCGGTGCTCAAACTCATGGGGTTAAGAATCATCCGTTCGTACTAGAACCTTGGGCCGAGACGTTTGGAAGAATCGCGTGCTATCCAGCCGCAAGAGCCTTCATTCCTGGATTTCGGACGGCACTTCAGCTACACAAGCTTGACATAGGCCACACAAGATCCGGTGGAGACAGAGTTCTGATAGATGGATGTCTGGCTACAGCACGGGCCTAATCTACCCAGGTGCATACAGGTATTCAACTGAAACATCCCATCACAAAATATATAGTAAAACCGCTTTTCGTGTAGAAGTACAGAATACGTACCTGAGGCTTATATGCGGGTTCTCCCAGTGGCGCTAAAGCTCTGATGGTTAGCGCTTTTCTTCGCCTCCATTGGCTATAAAGTTCCTGCCGAGATCCCAAGTGGGGCTACGACATCACCGAAACGAAACCTTGAGCCCTATCTGAAGGACCAAAAAATAGGAAACGGGCCAAAAAAGACGGTTGCTACCCGAGTGTTCTCGGGTGCATTGGGGATTGAGCCCAATGCGGGGGTCGAACCCGCAGCCTTCAGATTAAGAGTCTGACGCTCTACCGATTGAGCTAACCGGGCGAGTTGTGGGTTGTTGATGCCAAGAACGAAAGGTATCCGTCAACATGAGGCTTCCAGCACAAGGTTAAGTGGGGAGAGAAAGGAAAAACGAAAAATCCTTCAAAGGCACGCCTCTCCCTCTTCACAAAATCGGCCTTGGTTTCAGCCGGATCACTCGGCAAGCTGGTTACTCCATGCCCCGAAGTAAATTATATATCTAAGACTCGGCTGTGTGAAATGTATAGACCCGTATAAGCATATGTATCTGAACCAACAGCTGACGCCTGGACACCCGCCTGACTCTGCCTCATCCTCGTCATGACAAGTCAGTCGCTAGACAAGATTTATGTCAATATATCGCTGCTGGTTGATATCTTCCACATACTCAAGGTCGCCGGCAGTGGCAATGAAGTGGATCGATCCACCGGTGCCAATATACTTGGACGCTCGTCAACTAATTTTGCCTCCCTTCGCTACCTCATAGTCTGGTAGACACACTCTCGAGCACATATACATAACGGCAACATATATTAGGCCTTTATATAGTGCGGGTGACCATTATTCAATAAGGTGTTTGTAATGGTGCTATTTAGATCATTTTTCTTGTGAAGCAAAAGGATTAGTTGGCGGAACGCACAAAAACGAACTGCGACGACCCGGGCTTGAACCGGGGACCTCCAGGAGTCTGATGAGAATCTCTTCAGTCTGGCGCTCTCCCAGCTGAGCTATCATCGCGGCTTCTGTTTACTGACATTAGCGTCTCTCGAGTGGCCCTTTCTTGGGACCCCCGTAACATCTCCATAATTTGTCGTACATGCAACATATACTTCATTAATTGGCATCTCGCTCTTGCGTAGTGATCCACTGGAACATTGCAGCGGGAAACTCAGTTTTCAGTGCCCTGCGAAGCGTAAATGCCCACAATACAGAGCCCACCCAAGCGCGATGCAAAGAATACAGTAGTTCTGAGTGTGTATCTGGAACCCGGAGTCCCAGATGAAGAAGGCACATGTATTGTCTCGCTACGACCGTACTGATATAGCCGTATGAAAGCTCTGACCGTCCGAGAAAAGCATTGTTTCTAGTTTCTATATATCGGCGTAAGTGCTGTTCCCAGGTGACCGTCATACATCATATATCCAAGAGACAGTATCTGTGTGTTTTGATCACTACAACAACTAATCGCTCGTCAAACTGGATCAGCCTTCAGTCTGGTGGAACGGCCAACACACGTTTACCCGGGACATCCCCCAAACAATGGTTTTAACCCCTTGGTCTCGCCCGACGTTGTAGATAGGCTAAATACAGACATGGAAGAAAGATCCCGCAATAGGTGCTTCTTCCCTGCTACCTTTGTCTCCACGTCCTGCGCTATTTCCTTCGATCTCGCCCCTTTTCAAATCTGCACCTAGCCGTACCGTTCCAAGTCAATACAATTAGGCATACGCAGACATACCAAAGACCAAACTCATATATCCACCATGTCTGAGCAAGACGAACCGCGACAGAACGATGTGCAATCAGGCCCGCTGCCAGAAGTCGCATCCAACATCGAGCTCGACTGGAGTCAGCGATTCGCACACGGAATGTTCGACTGGGCACTGGAGAGCCGCGTCACCGCTCGCGAACTAGCCATGCTCCGAACCATGAACAAGATAACCGACAAGCCCGACTGGGAGACGCGAATATTCGACGATGAAGTTGCCGCTTCTTGGAAAGTTGAGGCCGTTGCTAGCGAGCTGCTGATGAGCCGGAGGGCCTGGGAATGGTGTCTTGAGGAGCAGGGATCCTGGATTCCGTCCCTTGTCGTTTTCGACACGCTCGTACAGGTACTAGTAAATACAAGTATCCGAGCCTGTCCTAGATTATAGTATGTCAAACATCCAGCCCCTATCAAAGTCCTAAGGTGGTGAGAGACGACGTGGCAAACACTTATAGTAGTGGAGCAAACATAAATCCTTCCTCGTCAAGGATCAAGGTACAAGGCTGAGGAGTTCACCCGGACTGGCCGTGTGGCGGTATACGACGTTGGACCCAGGATAGCCAAATCAAGACTGGACTGCGGGAGGCTGAAGGATCTGGTTCAGGACGTTATTGATCGGGCCGATCACGGTGACGGCAGACAGCTCTACGAGGATAATCAAGTCCTCAACATCGTCGATCCCTCCCTCTACCCGCTCGCCTACGGGGTAACAGAGGTGCTTCCCGATGGAGAAGAAGTTGATCCGAACAACCTATGGCACAAGGTGAACAAGGGGCAGCGATCCATCGTTGTGCCCCATCTATTGGACGATATATTCCGCCAAGCTGGGCAAGATCCGGAGCAGGCGCCGGATATTATTCGCGAACGACGCAAGAATGGGCGGTGGAGTCCCCGTGACGACGGAAGATGGCGTGAGCACAGGCCTTGGCGATATTCAAACCGGTTCCAGTGACTGCCGTCCGACGTCAGGTTCACACACCCTGATCGCGATGATTGTGCGGTGAGGTTTGACAGCTACATTTCCGACCTGCATCCGAGCTCCCACCGTCGCCTCTACTCGGTCATAGAAGACGCAATCTCAGCCTCCATTCAGCCCTGGAACGATGTGGTAACCTATGCTATTCCTGGGTCTGATACAATAAAAGTGGCTTAGGAAGGGCATCTCCTAGGATCCGAGCGTTCAATACAAATTTCATGCTGCCTATATCACCGAATGGTATCTGCTGACGTAGAGAGGGAAACTTCTGCAAGGACCTGCTGGAGCTTTCAGACGCGTGGGAGACGCTAGATCCACTCGAGCCAAGTGATTCGCTCGATGCTATCATAGCGAGAATGGACAATGCCCAGCATCACTCTTCCCCAACGCGATCCCATGAACTCCTGCAAGAATATCGTCCAGAGGTATTGAAGCGCTTCCCGCTACTACTCCATCCAGACAGGTGGCACTACAGGCAGCATCACCCAGATATACAAGCCCGGCTGGAGAAGTTCCTCCACAAGGATCCGGGAGTCTGCTACTCCTTCAAAGACTGGAAAGCAGGGAAAATACCGGACAAGCCAATCTACTGGGAGGCTTGGGATCCCGACGAAGTGTCATTTGATGATGAAAGTGACGAGGCAGTAGGGTTAAAGCTCCAGACCGAGCGGGACAGAGAAGCACATTTCAAGCTTTACCCTATCGGCATTCCTTATCGGGTACCAAAAGATCTCTGCCTACACTGCATATGCTATCCTTCCGACGACGGGTGGTTGAAATTATTCAGTTCAAAGCTCGCAAAGCACGAGGAAGGAGTTTACACTCAGTTGGAATACGATCACGAGTACCGCCATGCCAAGCTACAGAGCGACTTCCGGGCGCAGGGACTCCAGATTTACGTCAAGATCCAAAGCATCGAGCTTACTCCAGAACGGCCACGCTACGAGGGCGGAGATCGGGCACTTGATGGCCTACTGAATGAGCATGTAGTCACCAGCTCTATCTACATGTTTGATGTGGAGAACGTGGCAGACGGAGGAGTATCACTATCTTTCAGCGTGCAGGCACAGCTAGGGCCGGTAGAAGACGTGTGCGAGGTGTCCCCCGGGTCGGAGAGCCGCAAGCGGTTGATCTCGATGTACGCGATGGACGACTTGGTTGAGGGAAAAGCGCCGCACTGGCAAGTGCTTGGGTCCGTGGCGGCTTCGGAGGGGAGGGTCGTGTCGTTTCCGAGCATACTACAATATCGCATGGGACACGTCGAACTCCGCGATCTATCAAAGCCCGGCCACGTCCGTTTTATTGCCCTGTCTCTGGCGGATCCTAACTACCATGTCGTGTCAACGAAGAGGGTATTGCCACAGAGCTTCGATTGGTGGGAGCAAGACGTTTTCCCGTGGGCGTTCCTTATGCGTAAGGGGCTGCCAGACAATGTGGTTAGAATGATTGCTAAAGAGGTACGAGGGGAGCATATTGTTACTGTGGATGAGGCGAGGGAATTCGGTCACGCATAGTGTCGGAGAAGGAGAGGATGATGGCTGAGCTAAACTCCGAGGTTTACCACATTCGTTTTACCAACGATGAAGACTGGTCGCACGAATCTTTTGACGCCTTTGGAAACCGTGTTTTCCTAGGAGGCTGGAGTGTTGAGGACTGGGGTGCTGCTGCTCCATTGGGTTCCGAGGGAGATAGTTAGAGCTTAATACTAGTAGCCTGTATGCTAAGCCAGAGGGGGTAGCAATGTCGTTGGGTTCTCCTTGCCTCCACTCCCCCCCCTCACCCTTGAGCAAAG